AATCAAAAGAGATAGCGCTAACAACAATAAATATATTTATTGAAAACCTGCCATATAAAAGAGCAATATACTAGTCACTGTGAGAGTCTCAAAAGTGACTGAAAATCAGTTTGTAAACCCATCTGAGCAAGGATGATGAAATGGAATTAGAAAGGGGAGGTGATTAGGTATTGCTTGGTGTCGGTAATATTATAGAGTGACCATTAGCTTCTTTTCAAGTAAACATAGGTTTGCAATTTTCTCTGCCTAAATATAAGAACCATTTAAATATTTTAGAAAAGCTTCTGAAATTTTGGCCTCAGTTAAAATTCCATCTACGTTCTATTTGAGTAGATCCAGTTTTGTTATCTTTTAAAGAGTCATCAAAATAAGAGTCTAGAAACCTGGATATCTTTTGTCTTGTAATGGACGGATTCATTGGTTTATTTATTCTGCTTATTATAAGTAAAGAGGTAATGATATTATAGCTGCAAAGAATTCCTTTTCAGATTATGTGGATCCTTTAGCTAATACTGAATGGTGTAAAACATTACTGTAGGATTGATCTGTTTTTAAAAAATTAATATACTGTATTTACAGACAGTCCTCGGGTTACGTCGGACTCGACGTACGTCATTTCATGGTTACGTCGCCATCTCCCATTTATTTATTAAAAAAAAAAGTTCCGTCATTTCGACGTATGTACATATGTGCTTTATGTTTTTTTATTATTTATTTACCACAAGTAAAGGTCAGGAGTTATCTTTCTTTTAAATTTTTTTTACTGTTTCACTTCATTACTGCTGTGTATGTGCTCCATGTGAGTGATGTAGGTGCTTATGTAGGTGGGTTCTGACTTACGGCGAAAATCACGTTACGTTGTGCCGTAGGAACAGATCCCCGATGTAACCCGAGGACCTACTGTACACCCAAGCTGGAATTTGAGAGTAATGCTTGAGAATGTGATGCAGAATCCCCTCATAGATAATTCTCATTCTAAAGAGAGATTTCAGTACTCCAATTTGTACATGACAGATTCCTTTATACCACTTTGTACTCTATTGCAAGTGTGTCTGGGTGTATTCATTCATGTAGACTGAGTCTTCCCGCTAATTTCAAAGAACAATTTAGGACCTTTCACTGCCAACTTAAATTATCAGTGTAAGTTCTTACCCAACGGAGTTTGATTTTCTCTTCAGTTAAGACTTAACTGTTAAGTGATCAAAGCCAAATCATTAAAGCCTATGTGTCGTACAATAGATTCTCAGAAGTTCTGAGTTGGCCATTCTTCTTAGTTTTAATCAAAGCAAAAAATAGCATTTGCATTTTTGTCATCTTCATTTCCAAGTGTTTGTCATATTATTCGATTCAGAAGTCACCCTGAGTGGTTACACATCAGTAGAATCTGTCATTCTCAAAAAGCTGTCTCTGCCAGAACAGGGGCCCATTTCTATATTAAGTGGCATACCACCTAAAAACATAAACATTAGAATCATGTATGACCAGACTACTTAGAACCAGAAGTCATCATGGCAAGAAAATTTGGGTAATGTGGCATTCTCACACATAATCACTGACTCAGTGCAGCTTCCTGCCACTCTCCTGATTCTCAGGCCCTTTGATGTACTGTGGGTTTCCTCATTGCCTCCTTTACCTCTCCCCACATATGCACACATACAATCACCACCAACACCTTTATACCTGTTCTGCTTTATTATCTGCCTTTGTTCTACTTGCAGGGTATTCTTCCATTTCCTCAATTAGCTTTATTAACCAGGAGACAGGGATGAGTAGGGATAGGGAATGCAAGTACTCTCATGCCCTGTTTGTATGTGTCTGTGACATACATATAGCTGCAAAAACCAACAGACTTTTACATGGCCATCCAGCCATGCTGACCTTCACATTGAAATTGTACTGCTGATCTTTGACCTGAATCATTATGCTCAGCTTGGTGGGCCCATGGAGTTACTGCATTGTCCACAGTAAATGTGCAGGATTTGGCAACTAAATATTAGAATTAGAGCAGGAGCAGGGGGAGCTGGAGGTAGATGAGGGCATAGAGGGGATAAATGGTGATGAGGAAAAAAGTTTCTTGCAAAAAAAAAAATTAAATATAGAGCTAAAATATTTTTTTGTGTAGAAATGGTAAGACTTTGGGCTAGTGTGTTTATTTATATGATTTCCAAGTATGTAGAAGTTCAGGAAGCCTTTGCAAGTATATTTTCTTCTAATTATTTAAAAATTAGAAACTCTGAATTAAAAATGGGAAGGGGAATGTGCCAAAAAGTATTTGATTTGAAATAAATAAGATCCATATGCTTACAACACTGCACAGAGCAAGATGAAATTTCCATGTTTGCTATAGGTCAGTTATCATTTTACTTCGGGGATTTTATCCAAATGTTTTGTTGTGTTTTTGTTTTGTTTTTTACCATCGGCAAGACCCAGAATCTTGAATCTGTCCTCAGTGCTTTGTTTTGTTCAGCCTTGTCTTTTGGACCAAAATAACAACCACATATTATTTTGCCAGAAATTCAGCATTACCACTAGTGTGTTTCTTGACAATTACACAATATTCTTGGCTGTCATAAAAATTACTTTGCTTAAAATTAGTATATAAAAATATGTGTAGACACAGACACACAACATACACACACTACATATTTATATGTATTCAAGCTAAAAGATGGCTTATGGCAAAATTTGAAGTCTAATTATTTGTATACTTTGAGAAAAAAGATCACATCAAAAATATGTATTTTAATTTGTTTTCCATTGTTAAGAGGTGGAGGATGGGAATATTGTGAGTAATGGATAATTTATGTGGGATTTAGGAGTAATAGGTTACGAACACTCTGTATGCATATTTACATATAAATGTAACACATATAACACTGAGTGAATTTGAGAGGAAATGTTTAAAATGTCCTTCAACAGATTATCAACTTATTTTCTTGGACTTTAATTACTAGCTCCATAGAGAAGTACTGTGGGGAGGCATTTGTATTTTCTTAATTCAGAAAGTATAAAATGTCTATAAACTTTACTGTTTTTAACCAAGAATGAAGGAGAGCTACGAGCCATTTGCTTCCTGAGTGGCCGCATTCCAGCTGTGCAGACTGGTCATAGCACATCTGCCAATCAGAACAGGCCCTTCAGGGAAGCCCTCAGATGCTGAGTCTTGTTTACACGCATTGTGACTCTGTTTCTCCCCTCCTCTTGTGTGCTGTACCACTAGGAATATTTGGGGGGTGGGGGAGTTTGGGATTGCATGCCTGAGTAAACTAGGAAACTAGGATCACAGCCACAACAAATGGTATTACGGGCAGACTTTGCGCTCATCGTTAGCCACAGGTAAGAGCTGTTGCTTTGTTATCTGATCTGTACCCAGTTTCTAGCTTTACTTCGAGACATTATACTTTACTTTCGTTAGCAAAACTAGCAGGCTAACAGCTGAAGAGGAATGGTTGAAAATATGGTTAAAATGTGTGCTGTATTTCTGTGACTAAATTTTTAACATTCAACAGTGAAAAACCCTGGTATTTTTATTTAAGGGCAGGGCAAAACCAAGTTAAATTAAAACAAAAGTTTTAAAAGTGGCAGTGACACTAAGTCAAGAGAAATTGGAGCCAGAAGCATATTAACAGTGTGCATTTGGGAGAGCATTATATCTAAACAAACATGTTTTATTGCGAGTCTTCCTCCTTGTTAGTCTTTCAGACAACAGTGTTTTCCTGTGTACTGACTTTTTGGTTTAGAAAACATTTCTTAATTATCATGAACCATTCAGAAAGAATCGATATATACATTTAACTATGTAAATCTGATTCCTTTTCTTACATAATTCTCTCCAGAAGTTTTATAGTATATTCTCATTATCTTTATGCTGCTCCACCAGCGATAAAATTAAGGGGAACAAAAGAATTCCTGTCTACTCTTTCTTTTAGGGTTAAATTTTATTATGTTAGTAATAATTTAGAAGATACTTTAGAAAACTATATTTTGACAACATTGCATAGGATTTTATTGTGGCTTACACTTTACTTTCTGTTGTTAGTTTTCCCTTAACACTGATCTTATTTATTTTTGAGCATGTATTGAAAAAAAAAAAGTTATTCAGAGTAGAAAAAGACAACCTGTGGGTTTTGTGGTTCTTTATCTTATGTATAATAGTCTTAAAGATGATTGATAACATTTTACAGCATCCCAAAGAGGCAGTTTTTGAAAACTTTAAGCAGTCAGCTTTTGTCTCTTACCCTCAAGCAGGGTTTCTCAACCTTAGCACAGTTGACATTTTGATGAGATGATTCTTTGTTGTAGGGTGCATTATAGAAAGTTTAGCAGCATCCCTGATCTGTACCCGCTAGATGCTAGCTGTGACAATAAAAAAAATATGTCTCCAGACATTGCCAAATGTTCTCTGGAGGATGGACTGTGAAATCGCCCCTGGTTAAAAGCCACTGCCCTAAAGCACATTAGACAATTATCTTTCAAATATTGAAATCCAACTTGCTCTGGGTGATAGAGAGTTAAGGATGAGGTTGTACTGGTCTTAGTGTATTTGCAGATGTTGCTGTAGCTAACTGCTGATTTTTTCCCCTCCTCATCCTGTTAGAAGTTTTTGCCAACCATGATTCATGGAATGATTTTTTGGAGCTGAGTAATTTGTGGTTTTTCAATTTCCTTACTTTCTTTTAGCTAAATTTGTTTTGGTTTTTAGCAAAGTGTTTAAAACAGCAAAGATCTTTGAAATGAAATAATACACGTAATGATATATTTTCCAAGGAGACAGTTTTAAACAACCATGAAAACTGTATATGCTTGTCTTTCTCTGTGTCCTTTCTACCTCTTCTGTCAGACAAACCCTCTTAACTCTGATGAACAGCCTTACACAGAAGAAGACACAGCAACCTTTGAGCAGTTCTTATGAAATATAATGGTATGGGAGCTGGTATTTAAGAACTTTTCCAGGGCTTCTAAAGAGCATTTTGGCATGTAACTATCTTCTTACTTTACAGATCGCAACGAACGAAATAAACCAGAGCATCGTTCTTCAAGGTATGAACTTAAAATATTTAATAATTCTGCATAAAGCTCTCGTTTGAAAAATATTGTTTGGAAACAATGCATGTATTCCTTTTAGAGTTACTGTATATTTGAATTTTCTACGCCATTAAAGATGCTTTACAGGGAAATTTCTCTGAACAAAATCTATAATAATAAAAGCGTAATTTGCTAATTAGACCAGATATCCTTCCAGATGAAGCCAGGGCTGCGAGGGAAGCCTAGGTCCCAGGTTCCAGCAGCCAGGGGAAGAAAGGCCAACTCTTGCACAAATTTCGTGCATCGGGCCTCTAATATTTTAATAATTTTTTTCTCTATTGATTAAGATATTACATATGTGTCC